GATTTTTTCTTACTCTCTATTGTATTTAATTTCTGCTCTGATTTTAATAATTTCCTCTCTTTTTTGGCTTTGGGCTAGACTTGCTCTCCTTTTTCTAGATATTTGAGGTGTAGCATCAGGTTATTTATTTGTATTCGTTCTGTTTTCCTGATGTAGGAAGTCAAGTCAATAAATTTTTCTCTAGGACTGCTTTCATTGCATCCCACAGATTCTGGTAAGTTTTATTTGTATTTTTGTTTGCTTGTAAGTATTCTTTAATTTCTTCTTTAATTTCCCCTGGGACCCGCTGTGCAAGAGTGTGTTTTTCAGGTTCCATGTCTTTGTGGCATTTTTGCAGTTTCTTTTGTCTGTAATGTCTACTTTCATCTCTCTATGATCTCATATCTTGCATGGGATAATTTCAACTCTTTTGCATTTATTTAAATATGTTCTGTGGACTAGTATGTGGTCTATTTTAGAGGATGTCCCATGTACAACTGAGAAAAATGTGTATTCTGATGTTGTTGGATGGAACACTGTGTATATGTCTATCAAGTCCATTTGTTCACAGATGTGATTCAGTTCTGTCATTTGTTTGCTGATTTTGTGTCTGGTTGATCTTTCCCTTGGCGTCAATTGTGCATTACTGTCTCCGGTTGTAATTGTGTTATTGCTAATTTGAATTTTCATTTCTATTAATTCTTTCTTTGTATAACTTGGTGCTTTCGAATTTGGTGCATATAAATTTAACATTGTTATCTCTTCCTCTTGAAACTTTCCCCTAGCCAGTATGTAATGACCTTCTTCTGATCATTCTTAGTTTGAAGTTCACATTGTCTGCAAGTAGAATAGCTAACCCACTTTTTTGGGGGGGAGGGTTCTTGTTGCATGAAGTATTGTTTTCCATCCTTTGACTTTCAGACTGTGAGTTTCCTTTTGGTTACTTGTAGACAGCATATCGGTGTGTGTTGTTTCTTGATCCATTCAGCCAGTCTGTTTCTTGTAATTTGTAAATTGAGACCATTTATATTAATAGTTATAACTGTTATATATTGGTTTCTTGTTGATATATTATCTTTCTGCTATTGCATCTTTATCTTTTCATTCTGTTAAATTGACTGATTTTCTCAGAGGTTTTTTCCTAAGTGTATCTAAACTGTTTTTTGGTATTCTTTGCAGGTTTGGCTTAGTGATCATGAAGTTCTTCACCTGTTTTCTGTCATGGAAGTATGTTATTTCTACATACATTTTGAAGGACTGCTTTTCAGGGTACAGCATTCTAGGCTGGAAATCATTTTGTTGTAGGAAATGCAATACTTCATCCCATGATCTTTTTTTCTTTATTGTTTGTGCTGAGAAGTTCACTGTAATTCTTATAGGTTGTCCTTTATTGATGATCTGTCTTTTTTCTCTGACAGCTGTTAATGTTGCACTCTTTTGTTGGATTTCTGTGATGATGATTATTACATGTCTGAGTGTGGTTTTATTTTAGTTATGGATATTTGGAGTTCTATATGCTTCACTGGTGCTAATACCAGTTTCCATTCTCAAGTTTGGGAAATTTTCTGGTATTACTTCTCTAAATATCTTCTAGATATCCTTTGTGTTGTCCCCTTCTTTTTCATTTATCCCTATTAATCTTATGTTATTGTTCTTTTGCATCATTTTGCAGCTGTTGAATTGTTATTTCCTGGTTTCTTGATATTTTTTAAAAGATCTTTCATTTCCTGTTCACTAACTGCTATCTTCTCTTCAAGGTCTGAAATTCTGTCTTCACTTTCATTGAGGCAGTTTTGAACACTTTCAATGAAACTTTTAATTTCCTGTATATCCCTTTGAATCTGCTTCATATATTCTGTTTGTTTCTTAAATTCTTCATTCAGGGAGACTATATTGTTGTTTTGTTCTTTTAATTTTTTTAAATGTGTCTTCTTTAGATGTGTTCAGCGTTTCTTTTATAATTTCTTCTTTTACCTGGAGGATTATTTCTAGTTTCAATTCCTTTAAAGCTATCCAGAATTGCTTCTTTATTTCAGTTGCTATTTTTTTCAAGTATTTCAGCTTCACAACATATATGTTCTGCTATGTACATAGTGCCCAAGGTTTCTTGGGATGGGTTGGAAGTTTGAGATTGTATTTTGATCTTTCATTTTGTCATTTTACTAAACTTCTGTGTTTCAAGTGCTGTTCTAAGGCTTCGCTGGGCCTGTTGGAAATTGTCTTCTATGCCCTCAGCTCCTGGGACTCCAGCCACCCCACTTCCCAAACTGAGAGAGGACCTGGGATTGAGTCAGTTAGGCTCAATCCTGCAGAGAAGGTCCATTGTGGCAGCAAGCTCAGAATTTACTTGGCCAGTGGGAGCAATGGTTTTAAACTCCTGGGACATAGGATGGTGTGGGGACACTCACCTCAGCCCACCCTGTTTTCAGGATAGAGAAAGGTTCACTGGGGGTGTGGAAAGCAGGCTCAAGACCTGGTGAAAATGCCCAGTGGTAGGAAGCTCAGAAGTTCCTTGGCCATCTAGAAGGTAAAATTTTGAGTAGGTCTAGATGATTTTCTTGATGTTTACAGTTTGTTGTGATTTTTCCTGTTTCACTCACAATTGTGTGGGCAAGGGTCTTTTCTTGCCTTCTTTTGATAAGGTTGTCTAAGATTTTGTCAATTTTTCTGCTCCTTCAAAGAACCATCTCTTTGATTCATTCTTTCTTTTTATTCCTTTTTTGTCTCCACTGTATTCATTTTTGTTCTGATCTTTATAATTTTTTACCTTGTATGAGATTTTGGATTAGCATGCTTTTCTTTCTCCTGAAGTTTGAGACTGCACATTAAGTTATTTATATGTGCTGGGTCTCTTTTGCTGATATGAGCATTTACTGTATAAATTTCCTTCTTAGGACTGCTTTCATTGTGTCCCATAAATTCAGGCATGCTGTACTATCTTTACCCTTCAACTGTAAAACTACCTAATTTATTCCTCAATTTCATCTGTGAAGCAGAATTTTATAAGCTGATCCAGACATCATAGTCCATGCCTTAATTCCAGAACTGGCGAAACTGTGAGGATTACTTCTACACCTGGTTAGGATTACCCTGATTTAGATGCCAGCCTCTTCTATATGTTGGAATCTAGGGAAACCTGAACTGTATAGCAACACTTTGTCTCAAAAGAAAATAAAAAGAAAGGAAAAAGAAGAGAGAGAATGAGAGGAAAATGCAAGGGAATGAAGGAGAATGGAAATACTACAACCTGAATCCAGAAACACAGATATATTCATGAATAAAATCTCTAGTCAAGGAAAATTCAGGACTTGAGGCTTTTTCAGCATATATTATTCAATATTTAAAGAACAACTGCAATGTTTCTCAAACTCTGCCAAAAGTTAGAAAAGATTGCATTGCTTTCAAACTGTTTTAGGTGCTCAATCAGAACCTGACACACAGCCAGACAATTTCATTACAAAATTAAGTACAGGCAAATATTTGTTTTGATAACAGATAGAAAAATCTCCAACAAAATATCAGCAAATTGAATGAAAAGCACCACTACAAAACAAATGAGCTCTCCATTTTTGAATACGCTGAATAATTTATACATTATTATGAAAAAGAGAGTGCATACGACTCCAAAAATTAGATTCCTAAAACATCAATGCTTTATAAATGGAGAAAACAGTACAGGTTGTCAGGAATTCAGGTGGATTGACACAGAGGTGAATAGGTAGAATAAAAAAAATATACAAAGGAACAATTCTGTGTAGTTCTACACTAGTTGATGTGTTACATATGTTTACCAAAGTCCTGCAGAAAATATGAATCTTATCAGATTTAATTAATAATAATATAACAATGTTGCTTCATCAATCATAAAAGGTTTATATCAACAGAAAACATTAGTATAAAAGGAAAAGTAAACTGTGTAGGGAGAATGAATTAATAGTTGTTTAGAGAAATTTTGCTCAATTTTTCTATACATTTCAAAATAATTTCTTAATTATTAAATGCAGCAATGTAAGATAAAATAACTGAAAGAGAAAAGAAAGAACAATAGAAGTATAAGTTGTTTTTATTTTTTTGTCCCAGTGAAGCCAAGTAGTGCAATAAAATACAAAGAATCAGAAAGTAAATTTGGTCAGAAAAATAATAGAGATTATTGTTTTAAACTAAAAAGAGATAATCAAGTAAGTCAACAATATTGAAAAAATAGTTTATATTAATGCATCCCAGGGACTAAAAACAATGATGGAGAATGGTACTTAGAAATTTGTCCACAAATTTACTCTATTTTGTATAGTGTTAATGTGTTCTCTGCTTTCCTTAAAAGCATTGAGAAAAAATTTCCACTACATTTGATCTTTTTAAAAATTGGTTTTGTGTTTGGAACATTTGCTTCACTCATCTAGAAATGGGCATGGAGATTTCAGCTTTCATCCATGCAGGGTATCATGAACCAGGATTATCCTTCTGCCCTAAAATCCTTAGGAAATGTAGAAAAATATGTGAAGGTACAATACTGAGAATCTGAAAAACTACCCATGACGAAGGGAATTGAAGTAGGCTCTAATGATGTGAAATTTTATAGACTTTCCATGTCAAATTATAAAAGAAGAAACCCAACAAAGCACACCCTGATTGTTCAGGAGGCAAAGTTCACCGTGGTGTAGCCACAATTCCTAGAATTCATGGGGGAAAGGAGTGGAAAAAGGCAACAACACAGTACAGGTTTAGGGTGGGTAAGAGGCTCCACATGTGCTCAGAGGGTCACCCACAATTGCAGAGAGGTTTTCCCTGTCCATTCTGAACCTGTAAATTTATTTTTACCTCCCTCAGCTGACCAGAGAGCCATTGAATTAGAAGGAACTGAAGAACTTAGAAAGTAAAATCTCAAGCTGCAAGAGGGAAGATTTACCAACACCTTCTTCCAACCTAATCTTTTTTATGGTTCTAAACTGTATTCCTTTATTAGCATTTGAAAATTATGTCCAATATTTACACATAAACTCATTTCTTTTTTCTCTGCATAGGTATCCAGGTGCTTGTCCTATAAGCTTTGCTGCTCCTTATAGGTATGAAAAGACAAGTACTCTGTATAGTCAATGAACTAGATCTGATTTGATGTAAAATTGCTAGTAACAAAATCTAGAAACTTAAATTCACCTGAAAGCCCCGGAAACATTTCAATAGGATGTAATAATCACAATTAAAACTTTCTAATACAAGTACTAATATGCCACCTTTGGAATTTAAGGCTAGTTCTGGAAACCTGTCTCCTTAATTAGGACTTTCAGTAGGAGCTTGACAGAGGACCAACTTCATGGTTCCTCACTCCAGGGAATCTGTGTATTACCCTAGTTCTTATTACTTTAAATGACAGAAAGTAGGGTAAGTGGCCACAGCATGAGCAAGCAGCCAGAAGCCAGGAATAGAAGAAGTCAGTGTCTTCTGAGATCCAGCCATGTTGGAACTTATTTGGCTAAGCAAGAAAGCAGCATGTCCTCCTTTTTTGCAAGCAATCATTTCCCCAACAGCAGCAGGTGAGCCAGGAGGACAACAAGTCAGCATCTACTGAGATTCAGGCATGTGGGAACTTAGTAATCTGAGTAAGAAAGCCACATGCTCTCCTTCTTGGTAAGCAGCCATGTCATGAGAAAGCAGTTGGTGAGCCAGTTAGAGAAGAAGTCAGCATCTCATGTGAACCTACCTGTGCATGAGCTGAGAATCAAATGTTCCATCCACCTCCACCCCCATTTAGCAACTGGATGGTGTTGAGGACAGATGGAATTGATAGCAGCTAAGGCACAGAAAGCAACTAAATGCCTGTCTTGTTGTGTTGTGTTGCTTGTGCTGACCTGGGGACAGAGGTCTGAGCATCTCTTGGGAGTATGATCATATGCAATATAGCAAATATGGGGGATTTCCTTCTAACTTCTCTTTGAAGGCAAATATGGTTACACTGTTTTTGCTTCATTCTTATTAACTGTCTTGTTCTACTCAATATTCTGTTTTGATAGGTTTTGTAGTATTATGTTTTTGGTTTGATTTTGTTACACCTGATTGAATGGACAACTATTATGAAAATAATAAGATATACTATGGTATCTATTACTGTTATGCCTGTATCCTGCTCTGAAGTTATATACCAATCTCATTGCACGGTCTTGATTGGCATTGCCTTGGCTTGTTTTGTTGTATTTTTACTACCTTCAGAATAAAAATAAATAAATAAATAAGTCACAGAATGTAATGTACTCAACAGAAGTTATTAACACAATCATGTTTAGATGAAAGGATATACAGAATTCAATTGATTTATCTTTTTTTGCATATATTATTAACTTGGATAGGGGTTATGTCAGTAGATATTCTTTCCAAGTGACAGCAGAAGCATGCCATGAAGTAGACTTTCTTTAATCCTTTCTATCTTTGTTTTTTCTCTGTTACTTTTGCTTTATTTTTGTTCTTGTTTTTTACGTGAGTATGAACATGATTTCTATTATTCATTTCTTTTCTGACGTGCTCATTTTCTATGTTTTTTTTGTTCATTTGAGGCAGTGATAGAAACTCATACTTTTTAATTTCCACATTTCATTTACAAGATAGTAATTATTTATATTTTTGAAAAGAAATAAATTAACATTTGTGTTCTCCTTTGTAGAAAGAGAAGTGAATCAGAAGCAACTGAGATGGCTCCTACACAGGCAGCAAGCCAGGTATGGACAGCTGAGGAAGCTGTGTTGTGAAAGTTTTCACAGAGAAGTTCATAATAAAATTTCCCTTTTAATTTTTTTTAATTTTGTTTGTGTTTTATGTGCCTTAATTGGGAGGAGAGAATGGAAGATAAATAAAGCTATAGTGGGATAACGCCAAAAACGTTTCCCACAACATCTAAGAACCACAGTTCTTTTCAAGATATATGCACAGAGTGTATTGTTTTGTTCCATTTTCAACAATGTCAGCCTGCTTCATGTGTATAAGGGAGGTTTCTATGTGTGAGTACACAAGGATAGGACACATGTATGACAAATATCTGCAAAAGCCATCAGTAAGGCTAGGCAAAGAGGCACTTACTTGGCAAGTACAAGGCTGTGAGATCAACCCATGGAAAGAAGAGGAAGAGAGAAAATGAACACCTTTAGCATTTTTATTGTATAATTATTATACAGGTAGTTATCTCATTTTTATACTCTTAAAAGATTTACATAACCAATATATAAGTGGTGACCTATAGTAAGCCATAGTTAAACAAATGGTTCCAAATGTGTACCTATTCACTAAACCTGGAATCATATCTTTAGGGTTTTTTAGAGAGCTCGGAGCCATTAAAGAGTCTAGTAGTTCCAAAACACCACCACTAGTGATTTTTGCAAAAGTCAAAACATTGAGATAGGGTCTCCTGTTTTCTCTTTTTTCTTCTATTCCTCACTATTAGGATAGTATAGAAACATATATTCTGTTCTTTCAAACATTAAATTTTCACAGTGAGAGAGCTCGTTTTGAAATTTGTAATGTGAATTTGTAAACACTTATGTTTTAGGGCAGTTGTAAGGAATAAAATTTGATTGTCAACATGAATACCTCAGAAATACACAAAAGGATTCTACATTTAATCCCATTTATTTGCATTTTCTTAATTCTGAACACTTTCCTCTCCTTTTTCTCCAGGAACATGATTGGACTGCTCCCTCAGGACCACAGTTTTTGCTCTACCACTGCGGGAATGTGTGATAGTGCTTATGGTGCATGTCTGTGTCACTGGGCCAGGACAACATGAGCAGAGACACGCATCACGTGATTGTCCTTTGCTTTCAGCAGCCTGAGTTGTGTGTCATTTATTTCTCCCATTCCCTATGTTAATTAGTGACACTGTTCATCCATTGTGTCCATTCCCTGGATGGGCCTGAAGTCACCAGCACACCCTGAAATTTTCCCCATATTTTCACTCTAACACACAGACAAAGAAGGAGGTGTCATACAACTGCATAAAGTAAGGTTCAGTTTTATTTATAGAAAAAGGACAGGGAGAGAAAAAAGCCACTTTGAGAAGTAGGGTATGAGAATATGGGTGACTGCAAAGAAAGCCAGGAAGGAGTCTTGCAGTTATGTGATGAAGTTCATGGTTCCTCCTTCTGAAGGTAGTTTCATCTGACAGGTTTGTCTTCCCCATTGCTAAGGGTTTTGGTTTTAGTTTGGAATTGACATTGAAAAAAACAAGTACGTACATTATTAAAGGGAGACTTGAGAATGCATGACCCAGTACTCCTAAATTCTCAAGATCCCACCTGCATTTTCTGACATTAAGTGGGTTCCCATCTGTCCTGAGAGAGCCACAATTCAGTGCTTCCTCATAAAAGAGTGAAACTTCTCCTGACAGTGCTATAAAATTGCGATTCACTATTAGCAAATGTGGCTAGTTTTTAAGACGCCAAATGGATAGGTCGGATCTTAGGATGGTCTCAGACACTTGCGTGGGGTCCCAGGAAAGTACACTGCGTGGAAACCAGAGAGTGACAGGCGTCAGCCACTAAATGAGTGTATGACACCACCACAGACTTCCACGGAGAGGTGTCCAGGATGTCAGAAACATGATAGTTGATGAAATACTGTCTGTTTTCAACTGATGTGCACTGTGGACATCAACCAAGATGAGGATTTCCACAATATTCTAAAAGGTGAGATTGCTGCAGAGGTGGTTCTCACACCTGAGCTTCAGGCACTCCAGACCAAACCTGGCTGCAGCATCCAGAAGTTCAGGTGGCATCATCCCTAGTTTTGGTGCCTTTCTAATGTAAACAAAGTATATCATTTCCTTAAAACTTCAGGTTCCGTGTCACTGATTTCAACATGATTCTTTTTGCATGCTTGCATTTCATGTTCAAACAAAGCCATGAAAACTGAAGAGCAGGCTGCTAAGATTGCTTTGTGAGCCTGGAATTCCTGTCCAGCCACACACAAGCAACAGTCTGTGAAGTGGGAATGCTTCCATAGCCCTCCTAGATCTTCTGCCAAGCAGCCCTCAGGAACCTTCACATTTTTCAGATTCTGGCTGGAATTATTGGTGGGATCTTGTGCTACTTTCACTTCACAGAAGAGGGAAAGGATGTCACTGGGGAGAAATCCATTGTTTGCATCCAAAATAAATTCTCTAAGGATGAATTTTCTGAATCCCCAGGCTTTTTCTTGCACAAATTTATAAGCTTGTTGACTTGAGATCTCTTTTGTTTTCTCTCCTTTGGCATTCAGAATGTAAAAGATGAATTTTGCATGAAATTCCCTCTTTGAACATCTGAGCAATATCAGGTATAGTGACAGGTAATCTTTGCTTTCTTCATCAATCCCTTGTGGGTATACTCATAAGCAACATTTTAGTTTATCATTTGCTTCAGATGAAAAGGTTGGAGTTTGAATGTATTTGTCCATTTCCTTTAGGCAAAACTAAAGTTACAGATGGTCCATAGGTAGAACAATTTCATTATTTTAAATTTTGTGGTGCAGTGCCAGTCAGTTTCTGGTGCATTCAACATTTTTTCTGGGGCTGGAGCATCTGGAACACTTGACATCACCAGTCAGGGTGAAAGTGAAACTAAGTTTCCCAAGTGACAGAACAAAAAATTTCTCTCTTCACCTGTTGGTACAAATTTTCTTTCAATCAGGAAATCTGGCACAAGGAGGATGACATAGGAGTTGTGAAGTAGAGAGCCTAACAGATTAAAATAATACTTTAGAAATATATTTACTAAGATTTATAGTATATCAGTCAATTACATGACATTATTGATCACTGGAAGGGATAGGTAATCTATGAAATCTCCTTTCTGCTGGGTGTGGTGGTGTATGCCTGTAATCTCAGCCCTGAGAAAATGGAGGCAGGAGAATTGCTAACTGTCTGCATACAGCTGGCACTACAAGGCAAGACCCTGTCTTGTGAAAATCAAAGTTTTAAAAAAGAAATCTCTCACATAGAACAGTCTAAGCGATTTGCGCTGATATTCCCAAAGGCTTTTGAACTGCATGTTCAGGTATATCCATAGCAAGAAACCAACTCTTCTGATACCAAAAGTAGTCTTGTTTATTTTCTCCCATAGATGAGACAAGACATCCAATATCTAAAGTCAAAGAAGGAAAAGTTTATTATATCTCATTTTGTGGACATTTCACTCTGTATTCAACTGACTCCAAGGTAGCATAGTACAAGGCAAAGAGCAACATTTCATGGCAGCAGAAAACAAAAAAAAAAAAACAAGAGCTAAATGAGTGGAGCACAGAAAGAATACTCTACTTGTTCCATATTTTGCTTGGAGGTCACACCTAATTGGGTCTAGCACTCACACCTAAAATCCCAGCTTTGGACCATGAGTCATTCACAAAATCTAGAAGCCTGCTTTCATGACTGCATGAGATTTTGGAGGAATATTCAGACACAAAACATACTATTCATTTTAGAATATTTTAGGTTTAATTTCAATTTCTTTTCAGTAAGACATTTCCACTGTGGTAGCCTTTTCCCAAAAGAAAAACTTAGAGTTAGTTTGGGGAGGTCACAAATTTATGCTTACATAATGAGAAGAGACTACAGGAAACAAGATGAATTTCTGATATTCCATTTGCTTTTTTTTGTATATCTATAATATGATATTAAAATGTTGATTTTCTTGAAGTAAATAAGGTGCACTAGACTTGAAGTTATAGGGTCTGATCTACGGGGAGTGAAGAATCATTGAGAACATGAGGAAGATTTGTTGATGACATCTCTGATAGAGAACTTACTGGGCTATGGGTCCATTGTCTACCCTGTGAGGAATTTCTGGAAGCCGGTTTTTATTTTTTTTTCGACTTTTTCTCCATATACATAGGGGAACATGATTCACATGGTGGTCCTTATGGGGAGTTCTCTGGCCTATCATCTTCCTCCACTCTGACAGAAGATGGGAGCCCTGGATTGGGGATAGGAATAACTGCACGCTGCTGTGCTGAGTAGGCCACACTGTATTTATGTTTCCTGTGGTAATGAGAAAAGCAGGTAAGAGATTCTAATCAGTCAACCTTTAGGGTTTCCCTCAGGAGCACATGTGGGTGAATGCCAGTTGCAGGGAGGTAATATGAAGGGAGTACAGTCAAGGCTCTATGAGAAATAGGTGGGCTGAGAAGGAAAGATTGCTCTTCTGGGTAAACTTCTGAGCAAACTGTGTGAGGAACAAGGGAAATGGATTTTGGACAGGTACAAACCATGAATATTGACACAGTATATCTCTAGACCTAAAGTCTAGAGAAAGAAAACATATATGTTGCTTGCTCAGAAGTCTTAGATCTCCTCCTCACCCAGTTCATGTCTTGGACCCAATGTTTGGAAGTAGTAACTATACTGAGTTCAACTGGCATTTACTGGAACCTGTGCCATGCTGGGAGCATTGGGAATCCAAGCAACCCCTCCACCTACCATGATCAGCTGTGAGCCTGCCAGAATGCAGGCTGAGAAACAAACATCAAATTTTCTCCCCCTCACCCCTAAGCAACTGGGAGCCAGTTATCTGGACATTCCTTGAGAGGTTCACCGTAGGAAACTTAGTAATATAGGTGGTATATAAATAGTTAATGTGACTGAATTATTCATGGCCTGGGTTAGGCTGAAGAATGATGACTCATTCTTGTGGAGACTAATCTAATCTCATGAAATGTGACCCACACCTGTGAGTTGCTTGTTTTTGTCATTTTTGAGAAGAGCTATGCAGTTCAGACTGGCCTTGAGCTCACTTTGTAGCCCAGGCTGGTTTTGAACTCACAAGAATTCCCCCAACTCAGCCTCTCCCCCAGTGCTGGGATTGCAGGAGGAAACCACAATAGCCAGCTCAACAGGCCTGTGAGTTGCAACTTTCAACTTTTAGAATACAAATGTTGTGAGCATGGGGAAAAAGGACAAGAGTCACAGTACAGAAACCTGAGACCATTTGGAGCCCTCTTTCTTGATGGAGGAGAAAACTGGAGGGAGAGAGAAGGAACAGGAAGAAGCCAAATTCCATGGGATGCAGCACATTTATAAATACTGTTGGGAGACTCAGTATCATATGAAACCTCTCCATCTATGAACTTATTCACATCATTTGTCTCAGGCACCCAGTGATCTTGAGATTAGAGCAGTTATCCCTGTGACTTGACTCAGTAAGTCACTGTTCTTCATACTATCATTTCTTTGGCACCACATGTGATCCATTTTCAGCTTCATCTGCTCCTCTGAGTCAGCCAGACTTTCTCTATCTCTGATTGTAGTGCTCTAATATTTTCATTAACTTCTAGAAGGTTCTACCTCTTAAAGTTACATTACTTTATCACTACTACACTATGAACCATGTTCCCTGAAAATGAAACTTATCAATTTGATCTCTGGTACAAAAATAAAAAAATAAAAAGAATCCAAACCATAACCACAGCATGGCAATCTGCAATAAGTTCAGGCAGGTGTACAAATTGCTGAGCATTTCCCTTGTTGAGACAAACATACTGGACACATATAACCTAAAGTAGGAGAGTTGTAATTGGGTTTGTATCCTCAGAGTTTGGATGGCTCCAAGACAGAAACATTGTGGAAAACTTCCTGGTAGATCAAGTTTGTTCTTTTCATGGCAACAAAGAAAGAAGAAAAGATGAACAGCAGCAAGAGATTCTCCCCCACTCCAGGCACAGCCACAACAACTCAGCTTCATGGTTCCCCAACTCTTAAAAGCACATTCAGCTATGAACATCCAAGGAAGAATCCACTGAGGAGTATAATCCCCAAGACAGGAGACTCTTAATCTCATCAAATTGACGATGTGGATTAACTGGCACACGAGTTGTATGACCAGTCACTCCAAAGGTACTTGAAGTGGCAATGGCAGGTAAAAATGCTGTGTGGATGTTATTCATTTTATAACTTCTATTTAGATGTACCTAAGTATCTCAGCACCCTGGCAGACTGAAATGGGTTTGCTAAAAAATCTGATTAAGCCTAAGAAACCCCAAAACTTAGCAAGAATTTGTTTCAAACTAAACAGTCTAAATTGGCATGAAAGGCCACAATTAAATCCCCAACACTTTCCTCTCCAAAATAAAAGCAGCTTGAAAGGATGATATTCTTTTCTTTTTGGTCAACAAACCATTTATTTGTCTTGAAATGGCTGGGGTGTCCCTTGGGAAAGAGGGTTACAAATCACTGTGGGACTCTGGAGTGATTGGTGTAGGTGAATTCAGGCAGAAATGGCCTCAAGCGAAGGTGGAGCTGTTCCAGCCCACATTGACAGCTTTCATGTCACAATGGTTGATATAAACCCTATTGCGACTGATGTGCAGGCATTAGGACAACAAACCACACAGCAGCTTGCTGTAGGAGCAATTCCGCACTTAACCTATCTTGCCGATGCTGTGCGGGCTGCAGAACAAGCAGGGCTTCCATGAGCCCGTGAAGGTCATGAGCTGGTCTGGGAGCACATGCACTGTGATGTACTGGGTGGGCTTGCCGGTGGCCTGCTCAAGCTGCTTCGTGAGTTTGGAGAGGAACCTCTCAGACACGGACTGCGGGGCATGTTGATATTCAAGATGAACATAGGCATGTTGGGTGAAAGACGCTGGACAAGGGGAGAGGAGCAAGACTGCACACCCGGCCCCTCTGCAGGAACCTGAACTACATGACTGCTGCGATAGTATTCTTAAAGTACTTAGAAATTGTTAAGTTTTCTGGATCTTTAAGTAGTTACTGTGATATTTTCAAAATTATGCTTAGCGATTTTTCTAGCTGATATACTACTACATATTTAAGGTACGTTATTAAAAATATACTTTTTATCTCCATATGTGTAACTTTGGTGTGCCTCCAATTCGCAGTGACTTATTTCTATTTCACACTCTTGTTTATCATCATAATAACACTGCATTACATTGAAGTGTATGATCTACTTGCTTTATCTTGTTCAGTAGAAATGAAGTGTTTGAATATCTGTGTGTGTGTGTGTGTGTGTATAAATGGTCCCAAGTCTTCACACATGTACAAGAATGTAAGCTAACCGTGATATCCCACATACCCAGTCCCTCACATAATTATTACTCTACTAGAGGCAAAGTAGAACAAGAC